TTGGTTTGACCTCCTAGCAGTCCGAGGGACTCTTAAGAGTCTTCTCCAGCACTCCTAACACAAAAGCTGCTGTAGGCAGCCAGAGGTGATATCTGATTTCTTCAGATCCTGATTGTCCACAATGGAAGAATAGGAATCTCTGGATAGTTCAGTGGTTATTAATTTTTTGAACTAGCTTGTGCACATGATTTCCCTAGTAAGTCTTGCATATTACAGCAGAACCACCTTTCAGCAAATCAACCATGTGTTAATTGCCCAGAATGTCAAATTCTGCTTAATTTGGACAAGAAATGTACAGTGTTTCCCACTAGTAAACAGGTAACAATTTGCCAGGCCAGCATTTTACTCTCAGCCATTGTGTTCAACAATGCAATACTCTTCTCCATTCATCCAGTATGCCTCGATTTTGGTTGGTGAACCTATTTGTTATATGTGACCTGGGGGGAGGTGGGATCAAAAAGTGAAGATGGCAGCCATGCACTCAAAGCTGCCATCTTGACTTTTTCAACACCCCCCCCCCCCATGGATGAGCCTGTCTATTTATTTCCACTCTTTCTATACATTTTGTTTTTCTGTTTTAGGTACTCATTCCCTTGTTCCTGAAAGTGCCTACTTTCATAATTATGCAGGGATGGAGATGTTGTTGAAATACATCTTACAATATCCTTGCCCATTTGCCACACTGAGGTGGGAAGCATCATTGGGAGAACCCAGCTTCCCTCCCCATTCTAATAAGAGTTGTTGCTCTTGATTGGTGCTGATGGGTTTGGGGCTAATTATGCCCAAGGTTGGCACTGCACACTTTAAGCTCTGCCACTGGACCACAACCATTGAAGAAAGGCATGGTGAAAATGCCACTAATATATTACCAGCTGCTCCCTGGATTCCTTCAGCCCATTCCTGACCAAGGACATTTTCTTGTTCCTACTGTCAGTCAGAAGGAGAGGAGAAAGTTGGCAAATACTTAATGAGGCTTTTGCTGCCTTCTTTCTAAAAGTAATTTCATATGTGGGTGTATGCACATGCATACACATTCACTGGTAGCATTTAAAGTATTCTGTTCCTTTTTGCACAGAAGCCAAAAATAAAACTGATTTAGGGGAAATATTTGACTCCAGCTCTGTGTTGTTCTACATGGGGGGGGGGGGGGACAAATAAGCTCCTTCGTGTTCCTTGAAAAGAGGTTCACTTTTCATTACAGTGAACTTACAGTTCAAATACAGGCTGAAGCAGCTATCCTCAGGAGCAGCTGATGTTGAATGTAACAAAGGGATAGCAAAGTGTTAGTTGTTCAATTTACTCTGAGTTAATTTACTCTGAGTTAGTTAGTTAGTTGTTTAATTTACTCTTTAATTTACTCTAATTTACTAGTTTTATTGCTGAGGGCTGCTGGAAGAGGGATGTGTGGCATTGCCCCCTTCAGGTGCCAAAGCCTTGAATCCTGTTTCCTTTGACTGGAGGATAGGTGCTGGTTTTTTGCCCCCACTGAATCAAATCCCTAGTAAACATGGGAGTCTGTGTCTGTATGCTTGACTGGTACACAGGACCATATATCCTACCAACAGCCCTCTTCTACCTCCAGAAAATGTTGAGATGGCAATTTCCAGAATTCTAGAGTCCCAACCTATCTGGAGGGCAGCAGGTTGAAGAAAGCTAGTCTAGGGTTTGACATTCTGTTGGATAATCCTGAGAACATACAACATTGAGATACTATTGTTATAATTATTTTGGCCTTTGGAACTGGCATGTTTTTCTCTTCATGTGCTTAGTCCTTGGACCTTGCTTTCAGTGAAAGCTTAGCTTGAGAAATTGCTTTCAGTGCTTTTTCACTTCTCACCTCTTGGTGTAATTTAAACTGGTGATTCTGCCGAGACTGGCAAAAGACCTCTACTTGGTTGGGTATGCAGGCATGCTGCCCAGCTTTCTCTCTTGACAAAAGAGGGTCTCCAAGGGGCTTTTGTATGCCTTGCCACCCATCCCTACTCCTCCTTTTCCACCTGGAGAAACAAAATTCTCTCCCTACCCTCTTGAACTCCCTAGAATTCCTGAGTTAATCCAGCATAATTGCGACCAGACCAGATCAGGATTAGAAATGTTACAGGATGATTGGAAGCAGACTCAAGGGCAGGGGGCATTCTCTAAAGGGGCAATACATAACTATCCCGGTTTCCCAAAAGCGCTCCTTCAGGAACTCTGCCAGAGGCCAGGTGCCAAGCAAAATCTGGCTCCGCTGAAAGTAGATCAGGACACCATAGCAGACTCATTTCTTTAGTTTGCCAAGTGAGACACACTGGAGCAGCCTTCTAATCCCAGGAAATGATCATGCACAGCCTGCTGTTCCCCTCCTCTCTCTTTTGCAAAGTTTTTCTTTCCTTGGTTCTACAGAGTTTCATGTCTCTAGTTGAATTAAAAAAAAATATGAGAAAGCTTCTTGTGACGGCAAGTTTGTTTCAAAAACCTAAGCATCACCCATTTTGTTCATAGACTGTAAAAGATGGCATGGCTGCTCAGGGTGTGAACATAGAAAATTCCCTATTTTTGCAGTGCAAATACTATGCCTGTGCACTGTATGTATGCAGCGACCTTTTCTAACTCTTCAAAATCAGGACTCCTCTTCAGCCCCAAAAAGTGAATGGCCTCCAGGTTATGCTGAGCATTTAATACTGTGATGGAATGGAATTATGAAGGCCAGGCTCAGGGAGATAAACATTTTCTTAGCTCGCCAGAGGAGCGTGGGAGGAACAAGAGGATGAGACTGGCACCGCCCTGAGGAATTCACACTGTTGTGGCTGGGAGACCTTGGGGGGTGGGGGTTCAGTCCGGGAAGGTTGTTGCTA